TTCACATCCCTTAGAAGCGGGCGAAGATGAACGGATGCCGCATTCGTCCTCGAGGTGTTAAGCTACCCCGGGTGCGAAAGAAGACATGTACTGGCTAAAATGCAGCGTAGGTGGAACAGACCCATCAGGGAGGGGGATCGTACTTGATTAGAGAGCTATCAGACAACGACCATTAACGTTGTTGAAATTTTGGTTAATTGTTGACGAATTCTCGCTCCCCCCACCCCGCTCGAAGGTGGTTTTTGTGAAAAACTGGAAACTTTCCTGAAAAAGTAGTAGGAAGATGGCAAAAGTTAGGAAGAGAAGGTGGTAGGTAAGTGAATGGGGGGGGGGGGGAATATTGGATTAGGAAATTTTTTTCGGGGGAGGGGATGGGAGGGCTAGTACTGACACCACAATGATGCGTCATTTAGCGCATACCCATGTCCGAGCAGCATAAAAAGAATACCATTCTCATTCTGAGTATCCAACCGTTTTCAGGAGAATTTCCTGGCTAAATCCAGAGGTAGTAAAAGGGGAATTGGGTCTTTTCTGAAGAGCAAACCAGAACGTTTCGTCAGCGTCACTCATGAAATCATGTTTTTTTAGGTTGTTACTGACAAGGCGATTCATCTGCCACCTCAACCCCGAGTACGTGAAGTAGTCGTCCCAACGTCATACAGGTAAGCTCATCATGATCACAACCGTTTCTTTCAAGATTCATCCCAGTTACAGTCTTGTTTGTTGCGGACGCTGGAGCGCTTAGAGCGCTGGGCTTTACGCGACGCTAGCCCCATTTCGATCAATTGTGGTCGGTCGGAAGCTTCCACAATTGGTGGAGAACATGTTAGCGCCACGCCAACCTCTTCCCCCCTCCCCTCCTACCGGATACGCTACAACATCCGCATTGAACAGGACTGTACTGCCCATCCTGGTTGTGTGTTCTTGATAACTTTACAGTCGAGGCAAGGCGTAGGAGTCATTTGTTTTGTATCATAGTGTTCCTCTGCAACCCGTTGTAAAAAGCTTCAACCTTTCAGAACGAAAAGCGGCGCAAAGTTCAAGGCGCGAGCTCTCCAATATTGCCTGGAGGATGACGTCAACATTCTGCAGGTTTTTTTTATTATGTGTAATTCAATCGTCAGTTAAAAGGACGTAATGGGCCATTTATTGCAGAACTATAAATGTTTAATGTTAAGGTGACATTTTTTTCAGGATAATGACTGGATCGTTCATCTTGATGAAGAGACGTTATTAACAACCAATGCGGTAAGCATTTCAAATGTTAATAATTCTTGTTTCTACGTTTCTCAAGTAGTCGACATTGGGATCTCTCCTATCTTTGAAACGATAGTTGTACTAAAATTCTCGTGTTATATGTGTACGTCCTGAGCGCCTTTTGCATTATGATTGTGACAGCTGTGGAGTTCTATTATTGCCACCACTTACTAATCTCCTTAGCTTATCAATGAGCTCATGGTCTAATTCGCTGCGGGTGAAAGGTGTGCCAGACGGGAGGGGTTGGCGCGGCGCTATTTGGCATTTTCTCTTCGCAGACGAGTGAACTGGTAACTTCTCTTCCATATTTCATCAACACTACCTGCGCTCCTTATCGCGAACGGTGCTTTTTAAGATACAGCTAGCTGTATAATGACCAACAATCTCAGCCAGAAATAGCACATACTCCGAGCAATTTGGAGCTAATTTTGGAATAGTCTGGACTAAAAATAAATAGCCATTTCCCGATGTTAATTGTTTTTTGTCTAGTCGAATATTGTTAGCTTCAGTTCTGGTGATTAAGTGTTAAGCCAAAAATAGCAGAATTAATGGTAGTCACGCCAGAAATAAGAGCGTTTATTTAACAGTAAAGCGGAATAATCAATAAAACTGATGACCAGAAAACAAGCCAGAAATCCGATTACTGCCTACGTAAGTCCGTTCTTATAATTCAATATGGTAGTTTTGAGTAGATTAATGCTACCATATTGAGTCACTGGAAGAACGGAGTTATACGTGTTTTCTGGTCGATTGTCTATACATAGCTCATTGGCCAATGGCTCTTTTAGAGTTTTGCTGGAAAATTAGGGTGTGGATGAAGCATAAAGGACTAAGCAAATTTCACTGCTTAAAGACAGCTCCCGCGATAAAAGTGTCAAGGATAATTGCTGATCAATTATGAAACAGTAGCTGATAAGTAATTCCTCAATGAGGAAAAAAGCAACAAGAGCCCTCAAGAACACCACAAACAAAATTGCTCCCTTACAGTTACACCGCCCTGCGATCCGTGGGCAACCCCTGGCTCGAAAATCTCTTTATCACATCTCTCAGTAGTGGATATCATCCAATGCAATGAAAAGAATACGAAAAACAATAAAAACTCGGAAGAAAAACTCCTGAAAGGCAAAAAAACTTTCAAAGACACGGCGTCCGAATTTGGGTTACGGTAGCGAGCGGCTTTTAGTGCATGTTGCTAGTCGAGCTTTTGCACCACAAAAATTGCATCACTCGTGATTTCTATTTTACCTTACGAGATGGTTGCATTTGACTGTATGTGCTCTCAATGAATGAAATGTGATAAAGGAGAGCAGAGTTATCTAAGGGCACCATCGCGGTCTGCAAAAATGACTTGCAATCCCGAGTATTGCCCGCCGTCCCAACAAAGAGCAACTGAGCGGCTCTCCGTCAGAGGGCAGCTAGCAAGTGAGGCGGTCCAACTGAGCGGGCGTTAGAACTAGAACTTTGAGCGGCTGTAGCTCGCTCCTCGCTCACTGTGGAGTTGCGAGAGTGGGACAGCATCTAGCTTGGGGGCTGAACTACCTGCACAAGGAAGGACGACCATGGACTACTCGAGCGCGGGGGCTGTCTTTAAAGGCATGTTTCGCGTTCACTAGGTGTGCAAGTGCCGTTCTTGCACAAGGTAGCCCTGCTCGCAAGCGTACAGTATGTATCATTTTCGCGGTGAACAATACGAGATACAGTCCTCATCACTAAGTACTGTCGGGGCGGCACAGCCGCGCTGCCGAAAGCGGTGCGGCTCGGTGACGGTGAATCAGCTGATTTCGATGGAATTCGGCTGCAAATTCCCACTTTTTCAGCTCTTCAAGCTTCTAAAGTGGAAGGTGAGTTATTCTGACCAATTTTGAATTGTACTGACTCTGAATGAATCTGAAAGAATGCAAGCCATTTGAATAAATGCCTGAAATAAGGCAAAATACAAGGAAAAGAGCATAATAATCGACAAAAATAAAGGAAATCAGAGCCAGTACAATTCAAAATTGGTCAGAATAACTCACCTTCCACTTTAGAAGCTTGAAGAGCTGAAAAAGTGGGAATTTGCAGCCGAATTCCATCGAAATCAGCTGATTCACCGTCACCGAGCCGCAGCCGCTGTCGCGTCACAGTGCAGCGCGGCTGTGCCGCCCCGACAGTACGTAATGATGAGGACTGTAGCTCCGCCACCCGGTCGTGACCAAGGCAGTGCACCGCCCACTGTCCCATATCACACCCTTCGTTCATCTCTTATGATTAGCTGGTGATGAGGTTGTTCCATCACTGATCTTTTTTCCATTCCATAGGGTGAGTGTGAAAGGATAAGGATAATGAGCTATTCTTTTCCTCGGAGGGGAGATATCCTTCAGTGAATCTCCGCTCTCTGCCGTTCTCTCTAACGATGCCCCTCGTCTCTCTGCTTCTGCCTCTCTGCATCTTTGCTCCCCCACTCTCGCGAAATCTCCCCCAACGACATTCGCTGGGGGAGAGGGGAGCATATCGATTATACTCTGCGCTGCACTATATTCGCACAGAGCATGCGGCAGAAGGGTATGGATGCAGTCGAGAGCGAGAGAAACGACGGCTATCATTAGGGATAACGGCAGGGAGTGGAGGTTCAGAAAGGGATATCTCACTTTGAGGGAGAGTATCGCATACGGCTTGTGATGTCATTAAGATACCCACAAGTGAGAACAGTAAAATCACTTTGCCTCGTGAAGCCTTAGTGGGAGACGGGAAAGAGAATCGCAGTTTGCAGCTCCGCTGCGCGCGGCGATGGACGCGACGTTTTCTGAAGTTGTATTAACCGGTCGATTGGAGCACCGGACATCATGTAGACCCCGTCATCGTAACTGTTCGTAGCGCGGTGAAATACGATTCTCTTATCACATACCCCCGCTTACGCATAAGATCTCCTGTACAGGCTATATTTGGGAAAGCTGTTCCTCCAGTTTCACTTATGACTGAGTAATTTGTAATCTCTTCATTAGTATAGGCCCCACTATCCACCATTTTTGACCTGTGACTGCCTTCAAGCATAAGACCAGGCATCCGATTTTATTTGAACTAGGTCACATTCTTCGGAATTTACCTTAATCCGCAAATGAAGGTCGAGCGCAAGACACCAAAACACGAATTCGCTACCCAGAATAGTGTAGTAATCTATTGACAAAGTAGGTAATGTCGTTCCTTTGTGATGTCATGGGAAGGGATCAAACGATCAACCCCATTAGGATCACCACTAGATCACTCCATACAGAGCCATCGAGGTACTTAAATTCCGTGTCGGGATTCCAATAACATGCCAGGGAGAGGTACTTGTGTTTATGACAGCCATGTTACCCTCCCAAACTGTCCGTTGCCAATCAACCGACCAAGTAGTGAAGAAAGGCTCGCATACTTCAGCGTCAGAAGTCTTGGTTGGCATGGGTGGGAGGCGATCCGGGACTTGACGCCCGGGCAGCATGCGTGGTAAGCGTACCACTTGCTATCGCACAGTTCCGCCTCTGAAGAGTACACCACAATAAAGAGATTTATCATCTCTGTTCATTTTCTCCTTCACTTATCCGTTCAATTAATTCAAATATTGCGATTTTATTTCTTAACAACTCCAACTAGAGCTATTAGTGGGAAAAAAACCCCGTTTGATGATGTCACACGCATTAATTCTGCCCTTTTCCAGATATGCGGCATACTGAACTTCTGCGAAGACGGTCGTCATCAATTCGGTCAAGGGGTCATTACATACGCAAGCGGGGAAATTGTCAACTGGCTAACGACCTTGTCAGATTCCTTCAGGTATTACCTGAAATTCTTGAAATACTGTTTAACTTATGCGTTAAGCCATCATCACTTTAACTATTCTAGAGTTGCTGACGATATGGGTAAATTGCGTCTTCAGTTCAAGCTCTTTCATAAGCCCCTTTTCGGTTGGAAGGGTTCATTTGTTGTCACGCAGGTGGGTTTTCGTCTTAAAAGAAATCTTGCAATCTCTGGAACGACTCTGAGCCATTTATTTGTATACTGTTAACTATAAATTATGACTATATTTTTGTTAAAGGTTGCTGCAGAACGAAACGTATCGTATGACCACGGGATGGAAGGGTCAATAGCCGAAGATTGTTTCTTTTCTATGATCGCGATGAAACACGGGTATACATTTGATTTCATAGAAGGTCAGTTTTTGCATCATTAGTTGACACAATAGGGCTAAGGTGGTCTGCCGATTCCAGTCGTCTGGCGCTTTCTAAGGCAGCGTTCAGATTTCGCGATAACGCGCGTCAACAATTGCTACTTTCGCATTCTAGTTCTTTCAAAAGCGCTAGACGCCGATCGACATTTATCTATGAACGCACTGGAGCATCTTTATAAAGCGTCGACGCGCGTCATAGCGAAGTCTGAATGCTCAGGCTTAGCTTATCGGGAGGATACCATTCTCTCAGTGGTATGAGGCAGACGAGCAGGCTTAGTTCACCGTCCTCTCTCTCTCCCAGCTGATCTTCAAACTGAATACTTCCCTTTTCCGTCAACATTCTGAATTTTCAGGTGAAATGCACGAGAAAAGTCCATTTACGATGTGGGATTTTCTGCAGCAACGGAAACGATGGCTACAGGGAATCCTACTAACGGTCCACTCACCACGAATTGCACTTACACACAAGGTCTGTAGCTTACTAAGAGGGCTCCTCATTTACCAGATCTATCAAATTTTCAATTACTCATTCTATTTCAGGCGCTCCTTGCATTTTCCTTGTACGCATGGGCAACGATGCCATTGACTTCTCTTCAAGTGAGCCTTTTTGATTTGATGGCAACCCTGATAACGTAGAGTCAACACTGCGTGCATGTACTGAAAAACATTCATTGCATTCCATCGATACGACGGATGACTTTAATAGCAGAAAACAAAGATTGAATAGACAGCTGCGCTGTTCGGAGGGACATTTAAAGGGATCCCCTTTGCAAAACTGGTATACTGTGGCGCGAAACCTCCTTTCTATCCAGAGAAGTTGTTTCACCCTGTCGAAGCTCTCTTGTCCTGGTTGTGCCAAATCCTAATCCCCTTTACAAATCACCTGTGTTGCACAAAGGAATTTAAATGCCCCCCCCCACTCCTCCTCCAGGGCCTACAGCGCTGGGCAGTCGTAAGAACATGTCTAACGCAAGATGTTAACCTAGTGCCGCCAGAAAGTAATCTATCGAAAAGGAATGGTCAAGTTTTCGGAGGACATACTATGCGATGACCTGAGAGGTGAACCTTTGCCAACTGAGTTGAGGGGGGGGGTCACAACTACCTAGTATTCCGGCACTTCTGCCATTTATAGGAGAGGGCACTTAAGTTAGAGGCTTTGCTAGCTTAATGTTTCTTTGATCTCTTCCCTGTTTCTCATACGCAATACGCACGCCGTAGTACGCCACACGATCAGCCGATACGTCTGACTGTAATCCCACATATGGCCACACGGCCGCATTTTGTGGTCTGGCCATTTGTCACGAAACGTGTGAACGCTATTAAATGGTGGCACAGAAGCCATTGCGCTAAAAGAGTAAGAGGCAGTCCTGGTAACGGATAAACACTCGCTTAGTGAGCGGTGCGGCATCGAGTCCCGTCTGATCTGACTTTTGCCCGTAACTGAGAATTTTACATATACTGATTTCAAGTGAACAACATTTAGGTATTTCTTTGTCCGCTCTTCCCCCTTCCTCGTTGTTTGCCGTTCGATTTCGCTCTTTCGTTTGTCGGTGCTGTAAATTTATACATGTATATATTCGGAGTAGTGAAGTCATTTTCGCATAAATACAGGTAACCTTGAATTTTCTTTTGTCTGCCAAAGCATACTGAACATCGCCCTCCTCATCCCCTTTGCAGGAACAGCGCTTTTCGACTGATGCTCTATTTATTGGGAGCGCTGATGACGATACCATTTAATGTCATCATTGAAAACGCAGCAGTACTGGTTGGAATGTGTGGTCGAAAAGATCAGTTCTACATTGTTAACAAAGATATTCAAACCGTATAGCAGAACACAGCTGTGGGAATGCCATACGAAACGCCAAAGTTGAATCGCTGATGAAAAAATCACGCTGGGTCCTTGTTAGCTCAAAATCTTTTGCATATATACTATTTATTCGTAAACTTCTCTACACTGTTGATAACTAGTTTTCCTACAATCGCTCTGCATCGCTTTCAGTGATGTGTTCTGTGCCTCTTTACTTAAGGAAAAATACTCGGTTGCTGCCATCTGCCTAAACGTTTATATTAGTTGATGTTTGTTTGCAAAAGGTTTATATCAGAATTACGTTATCACTTCATTGCTTTGTTTGAGCTATGACACATGTGACTGTAGACTCGAACGCAGGGGATTTGTACTTTGTGTTTTTATAGGGACAAATGCACTGTAAGAGTACTTGACGTACCGCATGGAAAGTGAAACTGTAGGGAAATGTAGGGATCTGGTTCAGGTGCTCAGAGGCGCACTTGGGGCAGAGTAACGGGATAGCTCTGTGGTTACCTGTGAGCAATTTCATGTGACTCCACCCTGAGCACTGAGTTTTCTGTGTGTAATTCAGATCCGAGTTGCGGTATGCGAGTGCAAACCAGCCACTTTCCCTAGGTAGCTGGCTCGACATAGCATTTGAGCGTCAAATCCATTGGGTCACGGCAGGTTACGTCCTATACGGCTTTTCACGGTCCTGTCTCGAAAAAATCCTTCAAGCGCTAAACTGCTTGTTTCAACTTCAGGTTCTGAAGATCACTATTACATTTTATACTTTGAACGACGAGTAATGAGTTTTGTGTGACAATGATCTCAAAATTCGAAATGGAAGAAAGCAATTTGTCGGTTGCCAGATTTTTCCAGGACAAAGCCGTGAAATGAATGTCGTAGGACGTGGGCCGCCACGACCTAGTTGATCTGACGCCAACGTACTGTGTCGAGTCAGCTATCTCAGAAAACTGCCTGCTTTTTTCGCTAGAGCACCTCCCATCCGAACTACATCCCGGAAACGCAATACTCACTGTTGTGTTACGTGAAAATGTTCCCAGGCGGGAAACTGTCTCGCTCTTCTGATCCAAGTGCTAATCAGGGATTTCTGGATCACGTGTGTCATAGCATAACAAAGCAATGTAGTGTAAAACGTGATTCTAGAGGCTTGTTTTATCCGTATGAGCGTGGTTTATATGATGATGATCCGGTTGATAATTCCTGTGATTTTTCGTTTGTTTAGGCTTGTATCACATATAGAGATTATGATTGGCTCAGTTCTTGTATTATAATTTGTGTTAATCGCTAACTGCCCTCATCAAACGCGGACATGTTCTCTTCATCCCTCGCGTTTCTCTCGCTCTTTTCTAACATAATACGAATCTCTTAAGTTCTGTGCTCATTTGTTGTTTCTCTTTGTATGGCTGAAACATCACAATACTAGATATCTCGTATCGTAAACGAGGGATATGCCCCCTTTAGTGCCATTTTTGTTCTGTTGGCTGGCGTAACCGGGCCATAATCACGCTTTATGGGTTCGTTGAGACATGGATCCGCTAGCAATCATCGTCTGGTTACACGACAGATTTTGGAAAGCGCCTCAATACGGTGTGTTGTATAATAGGACCTAAATTCGTTGTGGGGACTTCAACACATAATCCTAATCACTGGTGGCGCTCTGAAATCTGTCGCATATGATCAGGGCGAGACTCTCTCGGGTACCACTCCAACCGCAGCCACTTATGTACGGGTTGTTTTCAGTCGGTGTAGGCTTATGTGAAATCAAGCCGACATCAATTGCTTAAGCTTTCATCCATGACGTTTCTCCGCCTTACATGTTTATAAATGAATGCCAATGAAGATTCTATATGAAGAAGTTGTTGATTGTTGCAGATGGGTTCAACTATATTACTGGAGCGTGGCGAGACGAAGGACAAAAAGGCTAAGTTCTATGGGAGACGGACTAGACAATCGGAATTCTTCGCACCTTGGCGCGCAACCTATCGATTGGCAGTGCGGGGCTACTCATTGATGTATATCAATTTGCCGACGATCAGCCAAAGTCGCATGACTTCAAGGAGAGGCAAACGTCTATGTCGACACAAACCGATTTTTCTCATCCATTCACATTCAAACCCAAAAGGTGGGGCGAAAGAACCCGTTAACATACCCTGATTTTATCACGAACTCCATAGGTAGGTGCAAAATTCGGGAATGTAGAATGCAGGACTGTTGCTAATATTAGCGATGAGTTGAGTTCTGGAAAGCCAGCACATAGTGGTTATCATAAAAAAGGCATTAAAAAATTCAAGTCATAAAATATTTTACAACAATGTATGCACAGTATTACAGTCTGTGTGCTCGATTCCCGAAAATGATATTCTCTCTGAGACAAATGGGAAAAGTGGAAAAAAACCCCAATGAAGACGCAACTGCTGTTGCTTACTTACAGCTGCATGATTAAAGACAGCTCCCGCGATAAGGTCTCATGGATAGCTGCTTCCAATGAAACAGTAGCTGATAAGTAATCTCCCAAAGAAGAAAACAGGCAAGAAGCGTCCTCCAGAACAACATAAACAAAATCGCTCCCTCACAGTCACACCTCCCTGTGCAACCCCTAGCTCACAAATCTCTCTATCACATCTCGCAGTAGTTGATATCATCCAGTGCAAAAAAGAATCACCTGTATCACCTGTGCTCCCGTTGATCATCGAGTTCCTCGAGCGGGCGCCAGTAACGTCTCCATTCGTCCCTGCAACGTGCAAGAGTTGCCCAATGAACTCTCTCAGCTCGAGGGACACGATGAACTTCATACCATTCGTTCAGAGCTTTCACGAAGAAGTCTGACCATCGCATAGGCGGTCGTCCAGGCGTTCGCTTGACATCCCGTGGAATCCAGTCGGTGACTGCTCTGGTCCAGCGGTCGTCCTCGAAACGCATGACGTGTCCGGCCCACCTGATCTTCGAAACCTTGGCAAATGCGGCGGCGTCTCTGATCTTCGATCGTTGGCGGAGTGCGGAGCTCCGGATTCCCTCTCTCACTTGCGTGTAGCGGGAAACTCCGAGCATCGCCCTTTCGATGGCGCGTTGAATAACGCCGACCGCATGCTCATCCTGCTTTCGTAGAGTCCAAGTCTCTGAGGCGTACGTCAAGGCAGGAAGGACCGCGGAATCGAAGAGGTGGGCACGGAGCTTGGTGTTCTTCGTCTTCTTCGCTACTCCCTCGATGTTCTTGAAGGCTCCCCAAGCCGCTCGCTTCCTCCTGCTCAGCTCTGGAGCTAGGTCATTCATCATATTGATTTCACGACCTAGGTACACATAGCTAGAGCATTCAGAGATGGTCGTTCCGTTGAGCGTGAATGGGGCATCAGATACCAATCCGTTTCTCATGAACATCGTCTTCGTTAGGTTCAGCCGTAGACCGATTCTTCCACACGCGCAGTCGAATTCAGCCAGCATTCGTTCCGCTTGCTCGATGTTTGGCGTTATCAAAACGATGTCGTCAGCAAAGCGGAGATGGTGTAGTTGCCGACCGTCGATCTTCACTCCCATGTCTTCCCATTCCAGTTGACGCATGACGTTCTCGAGAGAGGCGCTGAAGAGCTTGGGCGAGATGGTGTCGCCCTGTCGGACCCCTCTCTTCACATCAATGATGATCTCCTTGTAGAATGGTGAAATCTTGGTCGTGAAGTTGCTGTAGAGCTCACGAAGAATCCTGATGTACTGAGTAGGAATACCCTGGTTGCCCAGGGCTTCGATAACCGCTTCTGTCTCAACGGAGTCGAAGGCTTTCTTCAAGTCGATGAACGTGAGACATAGCGGCATCTTGTACTCTCGCGATACTTCGATGAGCTTCGCATTGCAAAAAAGAATACAAAAAGAAAACAACAAAAACGCAGAGGAAAAACTCTTGGAAGGAAAAAGGAATTTTATCAACGCGGTGTCTGAATTTGGGATTACGGTAGCGCACGTTTTGTGCGTCGAGGTTTTGCATCACGAAAATTGCGTCACCAGGGCACATCGTTGGTTGGGGAATCCCCAACAGGGGGGTCGTATTTGGCCGCCAGGAGAGGGGGGGTCGTAATGAGTGCGGTAGCCAGTAACGAGCAGCGCAAAGGTGTCAGTGTGCTGAGTCCTGTACAGCGAAACTTGCTTTGTAGAGAACTCGGATATGTAAAAAAATAGTACAAAACTTTCATTCATCAAACTAATCCGAAATAACTGGAAATATTAATAAGTCGACATCATCTCGTAAGTGACTCATACTCTGGTTCGCTGCGGATGATGGGGCGTGTCCGCGATCGCGCTTGGCGCTGAGCCAACCTGTTTTTTTTGACAAACGACAGGACTACCATATCGTTCGTATCAGACGTTTTCCAGCAGTTGGTCTCCTTTCATCGGAATCAGCAATTGGCGGAGCACGAATCTGGCGGCGTCGACAGGGACACGCTCCATCATACGCAACGGAAAACACTGTAAACAAGTGCACAGGTTCGCCATGGACCTCCCTGAATCCTATAGACACATTTGCTCGCGTGGACAGACATTACGCTCAAATTGCACCATCCCATCACCTCTGCGCGGACCTCAATGCGCGGCGCATCCAAAGTTAGCATGATTGGCGCTAAACAAACCACATCCTGCTCCTGCTCCACCACAGGATACGTTCTACATGTATTTCTGGCTATTCGAACACGCTCCTTGAAACCGTACACAGAAAACGGACTTTCGAACAGTTCGGAGTGTTCCCCAAATAATCCCCAACGCAATTATCTCATGACTCCCGGAAGCTTCAAAAAACGTTCAAGTAGTTTTTGGAAAGAGCAAATCTTCTAGAACTCGACAGTAGTTTCAGATTCCCAAACTATTGAGGTTCAAGGGAAATATCTTGGTTCAAACCTGTAAAACTCGCGCTGCAAACTATCCAAAAAATGAAATCCCTAAATAATCCCCAACGCAAATTTCTACATGAAATCGGCGATCTTTATGTACATCCTGCCCAGAATCCCTCCCCCGGTACCTCGGCCTTTAATCAG